AATTTCTACAAAGAAAGAAATGGTAATTTCTATTTTGGCATGGTGGCCAAACTGTTGAAGAACTTATTTTCTTTTTCGTACTATGGTCATATCATGGGAAGAAAGTGATCATAGCTCAAAGTAGCGGATCATCCTCCTTAATCTCGCTTCTGTTCTGATGTCCACGCATGTGAAGGATGGGTGTCGTTCCTTATTTTGGATTAATTATGTTTTTTGACGATAGGGACTTGGATGCAAAGGCATCAGAGCAAAAATTTTATCACCCACATTTCGACCGCATGACAATCGTCATTATTATGGTTAGCATATATTATTATGGTTAGCATATAAGGATTGTGTTAGTTCGTACGATATATCGAGAACATGGAAATTACTCTGAGACATCATTTTACCTGTCTACTAGTGCTTTGCACTACTGTATGTCAACCCACTACGGTTTATTTAGCCCCAAAGATAATCGCTTCGTACGGTAGAAACGTTGCAATTAAAATCATTTCTCTGCTAAGGTTACGTCCAAAAACATAACATCAAAGAAAAACATAAATTTGATAAGTGCGGGAGCAGGATCTAGGTGAGATTCTAATATCGTTCCTCTTAAAGCCACTTATTGTTCCCTAATTCCAAGGCCTATTTTCAATATCTGACTGATGTGAAGTGTCATTAATTTTGATGCTCAAGTTGAGTGACATGCTTAACTGAAAACAGTAAAAATGGTTTTTAATTATTACCTCCAACCGCGTCACTGTGTATGACGGGACCAGTCTCCGTTTTCCATACTTTTTTCCTTCCCATGCAGCCGAAAGCTAAAAATGCGATTTTCAGTCTTTAAAGACACCAATAAAATAAAACAATAAAAGTAAATTCAAATGATGAAGCTAAAAAGCATCCGTTCATGTTAAAGCATTAGAGCACACAATTCTATCCACTTCCGTTGTATTTTAAGAAAATCTATGACATTCAGACCGAGCATCGGTTAAGGTTTATTCACCGACTAAGTATCCTTTATTAATTATTATTAATTTATATCAAATAAACAG